ATCTGGGGCTCCACGCAAGATCTCACCCCGTGGGATCAAAATGATCACAAGAACGGTGAGCAAAAATCCCAGAACCACACGGGGGGACCTAGTGAATGACTTGCAGAGAGCTGGGACCAAAGTAACAAAGCCTACCATCAGTAACACACTACGCCGCCAGGGACTCAAATCCTGCAGTGCCAGACGTGTCCCCCTGCTTAAGCCAGTACATGTCCTGTATCTCCCTCACTAACTTTAAGCATCAGTTGTCAGAGCACCTTACCGATCACTGCACCTGTACACAGCCCATCTGAAATTAGCCCACCCAACTACCTCATCCCTATATTGTTATTTATTTTGCTCTTTTGCACCCCAGTATCTCTATTTGCACATCATCTCTTGCACATCTATAATTCCAGTGTTAATACTAATTGTAATTATTTTGCACTATAGCCTATTTATTGCCTTACCTCCATAACTTGCTACATTTGCACACACTGTATATATATTTTCTGTTGTATTTTTGACTTTATGTTTTACCCCATATGTAACTCTGTGTTGTTGTTTTTATCGCAATGCTTTGCTTTATCTTGGCCAGGTCGCAGTTGTAAATGAGAACTTGTTCTCAACTGGCTTTCCTGGTTAAATAAAGGTTAAATAAATAAAATAAAATTCATAAGACTGAACAGCACAGAACAGCAGTACTACAGGATGGCTCAGCTAGCGTTAGCCTAGCGCCAGCCAGCACATGCCAAAAGGGAGGAGTTAGCCATTGCTCTAGCTAGCGCCAGGCTCCCGCTGGATTGCAGTGGCCTACTTAATGACAGCAGGGTCTGTGTTGCAGCAATACGTGAAATCAAAGATGTAGAGAGAGAGAGAGAGAGAGAGAGAGAGAGAGAGAGAGAGAGAGAGGGAGAGAGAGAGGGAGAGGGAGAGGGAGAGGGAGAGGGGGGGGAGAGGGAGAGGGAGAGGGGGGGGAGAGGGAGAGGGAGAGGGGGGGGGGGGGAGAAGAAGAGAGAGAGAGAGAGAGAGGCAGAGGCAGAGGCAGAGGCAGAGGCAGAGGCAGAGAGAAACAGAGAGAGAGAAACAGAGAGAGAAACAGAGAGACCTTATCCCCCCACCAGAATCCCCATACTTTAATGAAGACAGCTTCTCCATCCTTGAAGGGGAAATCAATCATTTCCAGGCCCAGGGACATGTACTAGTCTGTTGCGACCTAAATGTCAGAACTGGACAAGAACCTGACACCCTCAGCACACAGGGAGACAAACACATACCTGGAGGTGACAGTATTCCCTCCTAATATGCCCCCCTAGGCACAACTACGACAACATAACCAACAAAAACGGGTCACAACTCCTGCAGCTCTGTCACACGCTGGGTATGTACATAGTCAATGGTAGGCTTCGAGGGGACTCCTATGGTAGGTACACCTATAGCTCATCTCTTGGCAGTAGTACTTTATCACTGACCTCAACCCAGAGTCTCTCAGAGCGTTCAGTCAGCCCACTAACACCCCTATCAGACCACAGCAAAATCACAGTGTACTTGAAGAGAGGAATACTCAATCATGAGGCATCAAAGCCAAAGGAACTGAATAATATTAAGAAATGCTATAGATGGAAGGAAAGTAGTGTGGAAACCTACCAAAAAACAATTAGGCAACAACAAATTCAATCCATTCTAGACAACTTCCTGGACAAAACGTTTCACTGTAATAGTGAAGGTGTAAACATGGCAGTAGAAAACCTAAACAGTATATTTGACCTCTCAGCTTCCCTATCAAATTCAAAAATGTCTAACAGAAAACCCCCCAAAAAAAATTAACAACAATGATAAATGGTTTGATGAAAAATGCTGAGCAATACAGAAATACACTATGGAAAAAGAAGGAACAGCACGTCAGAAATCAACTCAATGTATTTGAAGAATCCATAGACTCTAACCACTTCTGGGAAAATTGGAAAACACTAAACAAACAACACGAAGAGCTATCTATCCAAAACGGAGATGTATGGGTAAACCACTTCTCCAATCTTTTTGGCCCTATAACAGAGAACAAACAGCAAAAACATATACATGATCAAATACAAATCTTAGAATCAACTTTGAAAGACAAAGAACCCACTGGATTCTCCAATTACATTTACATTTTAGTCATTTTAGCAGACGCTCTTATCCAGAGCGACTTAGAGTTATTGAGTTATTACATTATTTTGTAATTTTTTTCATACACCAGTAGTTTATCATAAACAAAGTGAGGGAAACACTCTTTAAAACAACTCAGATATTACAAATAAATAATTAAATATAAATATATAAATTGCGATATTACCCATCCAACAAAAGTATTTATAAATTGAATGAATTACAGGACAAAATACAAACCCTCCAACCTAAAAAGGCCTGTGGTGTTGCTGGTATCCTCAATGAAATGATAAAATATACAGACCACAAATTCCAATTGGCTATACTTAAACTCTTTGACATCATCCTTTGCTCTGTCATCTTCCCCAATATTTGGAACCAAGGACGAATCACCCAAATCCACAAAAGTGGAGACAAATTTACCCCAATAACTACCGTGGGATATGCGTCAACAGCAACCTTGGGGAAATCCTCTGCATTATCATTAAGAGCAGACTCGTACATTTCCTCAGTGAAAACAATGTACTGAGTAAATGTCAAATTGGCTTTTTACCAAATTACCGTACGACAGACCACGTATTCACCCTGCACACCCTAATTGACAAACAAACAAACCAAACCAAAAGGCTAAGTCTTATCATGATTTGTTGATTTCAAAAAAGCTTTTGACTCAATTTGGCATGAGGGTCTGCTATACAAATTGATGTAAAGTGGTGTTGGGGGAAAAACATACGACATTATAAAATCCATGTACACAAACAACAAGTGTGTGGTAAACATTGGCAAAAAAACAAACATTTATTTCCACAGGGCCGTGGGGCGAGACAGGGATGCAGCATCTTCAAAGTGGTAGGCATGTTGTGTAAATCAAATGATAGAAACCCCAAAAAAATCAATTTTAATTCCAGGTTGTAAGGCAACAAAATAGGAAAAATGCCACGGGGGTGAATACTTTCGCAAGCCACTGTAATTGGCCCTAAACAGAGTACACAGTGGCAGAGTACACAGTGGCAGAATACCTGACCACTGTGACTGACCCAAACTTAAGGAAAGCTTTGACTATGTACAGACTCAGTGACCATAGCCTTGCTATTGAGAAAGGCCACCGTAGGCAGACCTGGCTCTCAAGAGAAGACAGGCTATGTGCACACTGCCCACAAAATGAGGTGGAAACTGAGCTGCACACAGTGAGGAGCGTTGTATTGCAGAGTAAGAGTTACTGCGTTCTAATCAGCACCCTATTCCCTATGTAGGTCATTTACTTTTGCCCTGGACTCGTAGTGCACTATGTAAGGAATAGGGTGTCATTTGAGACCAAGCCAGGACCATTGTGTGGACAGTGAGTGACAAGACACTGATCCACAACAACATGGCATGAAGCTATAGAGTTCAAATCAACATACAAGTGTTTAGCAGATGTTATTGCGGGTGTAGCGAAATGCTTGTGCTTCTAGCTCCGACAGTGCAGTAATATGTAACAAGTAATATCTAACAATTTCACAACATATACCCAATACACACAAATCTAGTAAGGAATGGAATTAAGAATATATACATATATGGACAAGCAATGACAGAGCGGCATGGACTAAGATACAGTAGAATATTATAGAATAGAATGTAGTATATACATATGAGATGAGTAGTGCAAGATATGTAAACATTATTAAAGTGACTAGTGTTCCATTTCTTAAAGTGGCCAGTGATTTCAACAGGCAGCAGCAGCCTCTAATGTGCTAGTGATGGCTATTTAACTGTCTGATGGCCTTAGTTGTTGTGATTGCCATGAGGGTGTCCACTAGCGCTGCTCTCAGGGTCTTTACATGTTCTAGCGCTGCTTCCCGGTCCTTACATGTTCTAGTGCTGCTCTCAGGGTCTGTACATGTTCTAGTGCTGCTCTCAGGGTCTTTACATGTTCTAGTGCTGCTCTCAGGGTCTGTACATGTTCTAGTGCTGCTCTCAGGGTCTGTACATGTTCTAGCGCTGCTCTCAGGGTCTGTACATGTTCTAGTGCTGCTCTCAGGGTCCTTACATGTTCTAGTGCTGCTCTCAGGGTCTGTACATGTTCTAGTGCTGCTCTCAGGGTCTTTACATGTTCTAGTGCTGCTCTCAGGGTCTGTACATGTTCTAGTGCTGCTCTCAGGGTCTGTACATGTTCTAGCGCTGCTCTCAGGGTCTGTACATGTTCTAGTGCTGCTCTCAGGGTCTGTACATGTTCTAGTGCTGCTCTCAGGGTCTGTACATGTTCTAGTGCTGCTCTCAGGGTCTTTACATGTTCTAGTGCTGCTCTCAGGGTCTTTACATGTTCTAGTGCTGCTCTCAGGGTCTTTACATGTTCTAGTGCTGCTCTCAGGGTGTTTACATGTTCTAGTGCTGCTCTCAGGGTCTTTACATGTTCTAGCGCTGCTTCCCGGTCCTTACATGTCTGAGAGCTGCTCGCAGTATCAGTAGACTGCATGGCACTGTGCAGTTTACCTTAACAGGTACTGGCTCTTTGCAGTATGCAGTCTACTGATGTTTAAATGGAGGACAGGCAGGATACGTGTGGGTGCCAATGCAATGGCAGAACCAAACTAGCAAGCTCACACATACAGTAGCAGTATTCGCTCTCCAACATGTCCTAGGCCTACTTAGTGTTCCTAGTGTTGGCCTGCTTAGTGTTGGGCTGCTTAGTGTTGGGCTGCTTAGTGTTCTTAGTGTTGGGCTGCTTAGTGTTGGGCTGCTTAGTGTTCTTAGTGTTGGGTTGCTTAGTGTTGGGCTGCTTAGTGTTGGGCTGCTTAGTGTTCTTAGTGTTGGGCTGCTTAGTGTTCTTAGTGTTGGGCTGCTTAGTGTTCTTAGTGTTGGGCTGCTTAGTGTTGGGCTGCTTAGTGTTCCTAGTGTTGGCTGCTTAGTGTTGGGCTGCTTAGTGTTGGGCTGCTTAGTGTTCTTAGTGTTGGGCTGCTTAGTGTTCTCAGTGTTGGGCTGCTTAGTGTTCTTAGTGTTGGGCTGCTTAGTGTTCCTAGTGTTGGCTGCTTAGTGTTGGGCTGCTTAGTGTTCTTAGTGTTGGGCTGCTTAGTGTTCTTAGAGTTGGGCTGCTTAGTGTTCTTAGTGTTGGGCTGCTTAGTGTTCTTAGTGTTGGCCTGCTTAGTGTTCTTAGTGTTGGGCTGCTTAGCGTTCTTAGTGTTGGGCTGCTTAGCGTTCTTAGTGTTGGGCTGCTTAGCGTTCTTAGTGTTGGGCTGCTTAGTGTTCTTAGTGTTGGGCTGCTTAGTGTTCTTAGTGTTGGGCTGCTTAGTGTTCTTAGTGTTGGGCTGCTTAGTGTTCTTAGTGTTGGCCTGCTTAGTGTTGGGCTGCTTAGTGTTCTTAGTGTTGGGCTGCTTAGTGTTGGGCTGCTTAGTGTTCTTAGTGTTGGGCTGCTTAGTGTTCTTAGTGTTGGGCTGCTTAGTGTTCTTAGCGTTGGGCTGCTTAGTGTTCTTAGTGTTGGGCTGCTTAGTGTTGGGCTGCTTAGTGTTCTTGGTGTTGGGCTGCTTAGTGTTCTTAGTGTTGGGCTGCTTAGTGTTGGGCTGCTTAGTGTTGGGCTGCTTAGTGTTCTTAGCGTTGGGCTGCTTAGTGTTCTTAGTGTTGGGCTGCTTAGTGTTCTTAGTGTTGGGCTGCTTAGTGTTGGGCTGCTTAGTGTTCTTAGTGTTGGGCTGCTTAGTGTTGGGCTGCTTAGTGTTCTTAGCGTTGGGCTGCTTAGTGTTCTTATTGTTGGGCTGCTTAGTGTTCTTAGTGTTGGGCTGCTTAGCGTTGGGCTGCTTAGTGTTCCTAGTGTTGGGCTGCTTAGCGTTGGGCTGCTTAGTGTTCTTAGTGTTGGGCTGCTTAGTGTTCTTAGTGTTGGCTGCTTAGTGTTGGGCTGCTTAGCGTTGGGCTGCTTAGTGTTGGGCTGCTTAGTGTTCTTAGTGTTGGGCTGCTTAGCGTTGGGCTGCTTAGTGTTCTTAGTGTTGGGCTGCTTAGCGTTGGGCTGCTTAGTGTTGGGCTGCTTAGTGTTCTTAGTGTTGGGCTGCTTAGTGTTGGGCTGCTTAGTGTTCTTAGTGTTGGGCTGCTTAATGTTGGGCTGCTTAGTGTTCTTAGTGTTGGCTGCTTAGTGTTGGGCTGCTTAGCGTTGGGCTGCTTAGTGTTCTTAGTGTTGGGCTGCTTAATGTTGGGCTGCTTAGTGTTCTTAGTGTTGGCTGCTTAGTGTTGGGCTGCTTAGCGTTGGGCTGCTTAGTGTTCTTAGTGTTGGGCTGCTTAGCGTTGGGCTGCTTGCAGAATACCCAGCTAGAGCAGTTGATTGGTATTCATCCACTAGCTAGGCTGTCATGTTATGGGATATGTTACATTAGCATCTCCCCACCTCTAAATTACCATCCATCAGAGTTGCATATAAACCAGCCCTAACATTGTCCATCGCTATAACTTTTAACCCACAATCTGATTTGCTGAGTCCTTCTCCCAATCAGAGCGAGTCACTATGCTCCCACTGAATCGGATTGGCTGTTGCCATCCCTACAGCATGTAAGTGCTTTGGGCTGTTGGATATGATTGGTTTCCTGGTTGACTTAAGCGGCCCCTGTTCAGGCACCGTTTGCGTGTGTGTCCCTGAACAGGCACTTGGCGGCGGGCGACCGTCGTAACTAAACGCCACCCTGACAACGACAGTGGGCACATCTCAATGACACCACTAGACAGACACATATACACTCCGAGGCGCACACACACATTTTGACACACACAGGTGCTGGGGCTCTAGTCTCTATCCAGGCCCATTTAACATACCATCTCTAATCCTCCAGTGGGTCCTCTGCTCTGTGTGTGGGTCCTCTGCTCTGTGTGTGGGTCCTCTGCTCTGTGTGGGTCCTCTGCTCTGTGTGGGTCCTCTGCTCTGTGTGGGTCCTCTGCTCTGTGTGGGTCCTCTGCTCTGTGTGGGTCCCCTCTGCTCTGTGTGGGTCCCCTCTGCTCTGTGTGGGTCCCTCTGCTCTGTGTGTGGGTCCTCTGCTCTGTGTGTGGGTCCTCTGCTCTGTGTGTGGGTCCCCTCTGCTCTGTGTGTGGGTCCCCTCTGCTCTGTGTGTGGGTCCCCTCTGCTCTGTGTGTGGGTCCCCTCTGCTCTGTGTGTGGGTCCCCTCTGCTCTGTGTGTGGGTCCCCTCTGCTCTGTGTGTGGGTCCTCTGCTCTGTGTGTGGGTCCTCTGCTCTGTGTGTGGGTCCTCTGCTCTGTGTGTGGGTCCTCTGCTCTGTGTGTGGGTCCTCTGCTCTGTGTGTGGGTCCTCTGCTCTGTGTGGGTCCTCTGCTCTGTGTGGGTCCTCTGCTCTGTGTGGGTCCCCTCTGCTCTGTGTGTGGGTCCCCTCTGCTCTGTGTGTGGGTCCCCTCTGCTCTGTGTGTGGGTCCTCTGCTCTCTGTGTGTGGGTCCTCTGCTCTCTGTGTGTGGGTCCTCTGCTCTCTGTGTGGGTCCTCTGCTCTCTGTGTGGGTCCTCTGCTCTGTGTGGGTCCTCTGCTCTGTGTGGGTCCTCTGCTCTGTGTGGGTCCTCTGCTCTGTGTGGGTCCTCTGCTCTGTGTGGGTCCTCTGCTCTGTGTGGGTCCTCTGCTCTGTGTGGGTCCTCTGCTCTGTGTGGGTCCTCTGCTCTGTGTGGGTCCTCTGCTCTGTGTGGGTCCTCTGCTCTCTGTGTGTGTCCTCTGCTTTGTCACAGGGCTTCTATTAACAGCCGGACATTTGTCATTGACTCAATTATCAATAGGCTAAGTGATAAGTCGAATGGGAGAAGAGGGTTTAGAGTTTAGCCTATCTTATACAGAAGTCATGTCATGGGACAGTACAACAGTGACATAGAACTTATGTTTTGGGCAGTGGGTTGAAATGATAAATTAATTAAACCAAACCACAACATTTTAAACTATAAAATAAAACTACAGCACAGTATCTCATGTAGCCTATTCCTAGAGGTTTATTTGATTTCTGATTGTGTTCATAGCCTGGGAGACATACACACAGACACACACACACACACAGACACACAGACACACACAGACAGTACTGGCTCTGCTCAGGTTGGCATCATCTAATTAATTGAACTAAAAAGCTTTTATTTTTTGCTTTAGCCTGCAGCCCACTTTAAGGAAAAACAGACAAGATGGAGGCAAAGATACTGAAACGTAGACATTAAGGCAGAATGGGTATAATGATCATGTATTGTCTAATGCTTGCTTCTTTGGTCGCTGGAATGGGATTGATGGAAGAGGCTTTGCCATAAATGGTAGCCAGGGACAAATAAAAGGGAAGCCCAGGAGATAAAGGAGTATGAAATGGGAAGCCCAGGAGAAATAGTCACCCGACATCCTGGGAACATGCACAAAAATGTCGCCTTGACACCTACACCACAATTACAAGGAGAGTCTCTCCATTAGATTTTTTTTTACTTTTCTCCTCGCCACCATGCTTCATCTTTGGTACACGGTTCTTACTGTGGAAGGGAGTGTTTGGTTTTGGCCAGACAGAATAGGACCCATGTCGTCCAAAAGTGGTGGTGGTGTTGATGGTTTGGGGAAGCTTTGCTTCCTCACGACCTGGAAGACTTAATAGAAGGAACCATGAATTCTGCTCTGTATCAGATCATTCTAAAAGGAGAATGTCGGGCCATCCGTCCGTGAGATGAATCGCAGCTGGGTCATGCAGCAAGATAATGATCCAGTTGGTAGAGCATGTTCCTCATCAGTTGGTAAAGCATGGTCCTCATCAGTTGGTAGAGCATGGTCCTCATCAGTTGGTAGAGCATGGTCCTCATCAGTTGGTAGAGCATGGTCCTCATCAGTTGGTAAAGCATGGTCCTCATCAGTTGGTAGAGCATGGTCCTCATCAGTTGGTAAAGCATGGTCCTCATCAGTTGGTAAAGCATGGTCCTCATCAGTTGGTAAAGCATGGTCCTCATCAGTTGGTAGAGCATGTTCCTCATCAGTTGGTAAAGCATGGTCCTCATCAGTTGGTAGAGCATGGTCCTCATCAGTTGGTAGAGCATGGTCCTCATCAGTTGGTAGAGCATGGTCCTCATCAGTTGGTAGAGCATGGTCCTCATCAGTTGGTAAAGCATGGTCCTCATTAGTTGGTAAAGCATGGTCCTCATCAGTTGGTGGTGTATCAGCCTCCAGTATCTATGCTGCAATAGTCTATGTGCCGGGGGGCTAGGGTCAGTCTGTTATATCTGGTGTAATTCTCCTGTCTTATCTGGTGTCCTGTGTGAATTAAAGTATGCTCCCTCTGGTTCTCGCTCTCTCCCTCCCCTCCCGGAGGACCTGAGCCCTAGGACCATGCCTCAGGACTACCTGGCCTGATGACTCCTGGCTGTCCCCAGTCCACCTGGTCGTGCTGCTGCTCCAGTTTCAACTGTTCTGCCTGTGGCTATGGAACCCTGACCTGTTTACCGGACGTGCTACTTTGTCCCCAGACCTGCTGTTTTCGACTCTCTCTCTCTCTACCGCACCTGCTGTCTCGACCTCTGAATGCTCGGCTATGAAAAGCCAACTGACATTTACTCCTGAGGTATTGACCTGTTGCACCCTCTACAACCACTGGGATTATTATTTGACCCTGCTGGTCATCTATGAACGTTTGAACATCTTGAAGAACAATCTGGACTTAATGGCCATGTCCTCTTATAATCTCCACCCGGCACAGCAAGAAGGGGACTGGCCACCCCTCAGAGCCTGGTTCCTCTCTAGGTTTCTTCCTAGGTTCCTGCCTTTCTAGGGAGTTTTTCCTAGCCACCGTGCTTCTACATCTGCATTGCTGTTTGGGGTTTTAGGCTGGATTTCAGTAAAAAGGGGTTTATACATACATTTGATTGATTGATTGATTGATAGATAGAGCATATATTTATATATATATTTACGTCATTTAGCAGACGCTCTTATCCAGAGCGACTTACAGGAGCAATTAGGGTTAAGTGCCTTGCTTAAGGGCACATCGACAGATTTTTCACCTAGTCGGCTCGGGGATTAGAACCAGCGACCTTTCGGTTACTGGCACAACGCTCTTACCCACTAAGCTACCTGCCGCCCCATGGTCCTCATTAGTTGGTAGAGCATGGTCCTCATCGGTTTTCCGGCTACAAAAGAGGAAAGGCCGGCGTTATGGAGCCAAGAGGGGGAATCCTGGTGAGATTAAGGCGAAGGGAAAACCGGCCACCTCTTCCTCCATTCTACTGGCTAATGTACAGTCACTTGATAATAAGATGGATGACCTCCGATCGCGTATTTGCTACCGACGGGACTCTCGGAACTGCAGTATTCTTAGCTTTTCGGAAACATGGCTCTCGGACAAGATACCCCCCATGGCTATCCAACTCGATGGATTCTTCATTCACCGGGCGGACAGGTCAGTGGAGTTGGGGAAAATTGAGAGGGGGAGGGGTTTGCCTCTTCATCAACTCCAACTGGTGTGCCAATTCCTAACGCAGTGGAAGTGTCGACCCACTGTTCACCCGACTTGGAATATCTGATGGTCAAATGCCGACCCTTCTGCCTCCCGAGGGAGTTTTCAGCCGTTATCGTGACTGCTGTATATATTCCACCTCAAGACAATAAAAAATAAAATAAAAAAGCTAGCGCTTAATGAACTGTACAAGGCTATAAACAAGCAGCGAAACCTACAGCCAGAGGCTGCATTTCTGGTTGGCAACGATTTTAATTTGGCGTCACTAAGGCACGTGATGCCCAACATCCATCAACACGTCTCCAACGCCACTAGGGGCAATAAAGTCCTAGACCACTGCTATTCTACCCACGAGCATACAAGGCACTCCCTCGTCCGCTATTCGGCAAATCAGATCATGACTCCGTACTTTTATTTCCTGTTTACAAGCAGAAGCTGAAACAGGAAGTACCCGTGATTCGCTCCGTTGAGAGATGGTCACCAGAATCAGAGGTTATGCTACAGGACTGCTTTGCTAACGCTGACTGGAATATGTTCAGAGACTCCGCCGATAACATTGACGAGATAACCACCTCCGTCACTGGCTTCATTAGAAAATGCATCGGCGACGTTGTACCCACGGTGAGGGGACGCTGCTTCCCCAATCCAAAACCCTGGATTAACACAGAGGTTGGCGCTAAACTAAAGAACAGGGCTACCGCACACAGAGCTATCATAGACAACCCTGATGCTACGGCCGAAGACAGGAACAAGTACAGGAAGTCCCGCTATGACCTCTGCAGAGTAATCAAACGAGCAAAAGGACAATATAGGAATAAGGTGGAGATATACTGCACAGGCTCTGCCGCCCACCGCAGGTGGCTGGGGCTACAGTCCATTACGGATTACAAAGGAAGACCCAACTGATCTGCCCAACGATGCCTCTCTACCAGACGAACTGAATGCATTTTATGCACGCTTTGACAACAACAACAACATCGAGCCGGGTGTG